AAAGCTATAGGCATTGGTTTGTAGTTTTACTAGCTGCCATAGAGTCAGTGCATGTGCGCACTTCCGACTCGTTCCCATGTCTAGTCCTCTTCTTGTCACAGAATTCACTTATATTCATTTTAGCGGGTTTGCAATGCTGGAGGAATTGAATGGACCACCATTCCACTCTGAACTTACTAAAATGTTGACTTCTGAAGTCTCTTCCTTCTTGCCCTAAGTAAATATTTACAAAACCGCCACAATCGTGAAGTGCCATAAACGGCGTCCCAGGCCCACTTTAATTACTTCGCGACACAAAAGCTAGCATAATAGCTCTGCTAGTCATTCTTCTGCTTAAAATCCTTGGCTGATCATTAACAAAGTTTGGTTTGTAAGAGGCTTACTTATCATGGGAGCTTTACGATTCGAATACATGAACTTTTTTTCAGGGTGGAGGTTGTATAGTAACTGCTCACATGGAACTTCTAAGTCACCCTTCGGCGACACTAGCAAACTCTTGTAACCAAGGTGGCCTACATTTACCATTTTACAGCCACGAGGATCATTAAACCAAGACCTATTAACATCACCTGGCAAAAAGAACTAGTGTGGGTGTGAAGATGTCTCCACTCCACCTCCCGCCGTTAGTAAAACTACGAACAGTGACTCAGGCCTTTACTTGCAGCTATTAATAATTTTGATGCCGAAAAAAATGACTTCTTGGAACCACTGAGGAAAGCAATTTGACAAGTGTCGGATGCTGAATCTCCAGGGATGAGCCGCACACTTGAATACCAATCAGTCAGGAAAACTTTAGTTGTTAGCAGAATGCTTCGCGCAAAGGATGTCCCTTCGCCATCAGCTCCTGCTCTCTTACTAGCCGTTAAACCCTCCTTCCATTTTCAAAAAAAAAACATTTTCCTTTGCTAAGCGTTTCAGTGAGTGTCCGAATTACGGCGTGCGGAGCGTGATAGCGAACGTCGTTCAAGCGGTTGCCGTATGGGTGGGAGTCGCATCAGGGGACCAATCGACTACACGCGACGAGCAACAGAGTTAATACGATGTGACTAGCTGGAGAAGCCGCGCGCGACGAGTTAGCTTCTGGATCGCCGAGACGCTCCCGTCGTTTTCGCTTGGTATATAGTAACTGATCATCACCACGTCTGAAAGTTACCCGCTTTTTGGTTACGATAACTCTGGCCGGGGTTAAGACTGAGCGCTTCCGCAGTATAAAGACCATGAAAATAGAAAATCGGCTTCATTCACTCGGAGAGCGGAAGAAATGTGGGGGGGGGGAGGGAGGCCGATTCATGTTCTACAAGGACCCTGTTAGCGAGCAAATCTTCTCTGCTCGTTCAAGGAGCTTTATAGGTCTTCACGAGTTGTCCTAAGAACAAGCTTTGCTAAGTATCATTTAGTGCCCCCACCAAGCCCTACTGAGCCAAAAAATTAAAAAAAAATAGCGGTTGTCTGTGTGTGCTTCGACTAACTTTATAAAAAAGCAAACAAATAAATTGAATTTGTACATCTTGAAGTTTCTTTCGCAAGTTGCTCTAATTCTTATCGATTAAGCGCAATTGCGACGTGGTGGGCATATTGCCACTTTTCTTGCTTCACTACTTCCGGTTAACAAGTCTAACTTTGGTGAAACTTGTGAACTCCTGTGAAGCTAAAGAAGCTCATCCATCCACCGACGTAGAACTTTCCAACTATTGTAAGCTCATGAATTAGCCCTCCAGATGGCTCGACACGTCGATGGAAAGCAGCAAAAGTGCAAGCCCCCCCCCCACCGGTAGCCGAACTGCCCCGAACTTATGCGAGTAGCAAGGGTCGTATAAGAGTGCCCTCGAAGCTTAGAAAAAACAGCGAGAATCATAGGTTAGAGCTGCGTTACCACTGGTATCTGAAACTAAGTCCTTACCCGATGAGGCGCAAGTGGTAGTGGCAAGTGGCATGCTCACCGCGCGGTCCGGGTGTCAGTCACGGATCGGATTCCGCCCAAAGCCATCCGAGCCTTCCGGATACCGTAATTAGTATCAGACTCGTTTGGGAGTATAAGAACAGTAAACTTTACATCAGGTAGCCCCCATTCGGTAGGCATTCGATAGGTCTCTAGAATCTGAATGAAAGTAGAATGCATGTTGCATCCTAAAAGGGATTGGTCAACGGCGAAACCTTTCTCTATCCACACGAGATTTCGTTTTTGCAAACTAGCCATAAACAATCCCAAATAAAACCCCGCTTTCATGAATTTTATCCTTCCATTTGCGCCTAATTACTAACATTTCAGTTCGGCAAACGAGACGGATATCGACCTTTGCAATTCGGCAAGCGGGACTATCGGCCGTTACAATTTGGTAAGAGATCGCCACTGGTTGGTGCGTACCTGGTGCCTGCTTTGTGATGATACTCTATGAGGCCTTTTAATGGACTCATCGCGACACGTGTGTGATTTCTTCCATTTGATTTGTATTCATGGATTTTCATAGTTTATGATTGTAGCCACTCGAGTTTGATAGGCAGAGAATCGGCCCCCATGACATGTTCCCGCTTGTTCCCCCGTACTGCTTACTCCTCCTCCCTCCCATCACCCTCGTACACCATCGTCCCATATGCCGCCGACTCTTCATATCTCATTCTTGACATCATCGATGCGAATGCAAATAAAGGTGTTGTTAGCAGACTTCTAACATTTCGACAATGGAATTTTTCCAGAATCTTCCGCAAAAGCGGTCATTAGAACACGGTTCAAATGACACAAAATTGGTAGGGGAGCCAATCTTGTGTCATTTGAACCGTCGTCAAAAAAGCAACATTTTCGGAGCTCACAGCACCAGAGTCAGAATCGCCGATTCAAAAGCGACCTTTCAAATCGCGAAGAGAAATAGATTTCAGTTTTGCCCGAATCGATTAATCGCTTAATGGCAACACCAACTGAAGGGCCATTGTTCGGGGTTGACGTTTTGAAATACGAACTGTACACTTGCCTCCAAGATGGCCCTTGCCACTTGCGAGACGAGTAACTCTGCTCCGCAGCTGCAGTAGCGTCCGAATTTCCCCACCCGGAAGTGCACGGGAACGGGGCTGTAGAGAAAGGTACACATGTGCCGTCCCCATAGCTAGTGGTACCCGAGCGCCGTCCCCATATTCTACTCGCGCTACCTCCAAGGTGTAGCTCTTGCGTCGATACAAATAGCATTAGGCACGCAACCTGAACAAGAGAACAACCAGTATTGAGAGAGCGCAGCAGACATAGTATCGCTAGCAGGCGCAGGTTGGGCGTGTCGCTAGACTAGTGTGGCAGCTCAGGCTGGCGGCATGTACAACGGCTAACCACGACTATGACTAGCCGCTCTAGCCCGCTCCCTGTGCACTTTTAACCATAGAGAGTGGCACGCTTTGCAGCTAGTGATCCATTTATCCCACAAATCGCAAAGGACATATGTAATGAGTGTGCTGTTTTTTTTCATGTATACCTCACAAATGACTTACTAGTTGACGCCGGTAATTCTAGGTTGCGTGCAACGGCGGCAAACTGAGTATTCGCATTCTGGCATCAGAAAGAGATTTCAGTTATGCTTCAATGAAAGGTAATGGCGCAAAAATCGCACACCACAGTTGGGGAATGATTGTTAGCGGGAAGGTCTTCGGCGAGCGGTAGCGCTTTCTATCGCGCGTTCAACGGCGATCGATGGCGGCGAAAGCATGCGCAATCCGATGCGCTGACCGAAACGCCGCGACGGAGGCGGCATGTCGTCGCAAAGTCTGGACGCCGTCTTAACTCCTAAGGATTGAGAAAATTAAGTGGAATGGGCATGGTTACAGGCAATCAATTTATGATGAAAGGGCTACTGTCAGTACGACTCATTCCACTTCCCATTCCCCTAAACATTTATCTCTCATAGCGGTAAGGTATTTTAGTACGCTGTTTGGCCCTCCTGCCGCACCGAAATTGTCCCAACAATGGTTGTCTGACAATTGGCAGGATTATTTTCGCCATACTCCAAACAGGTTGTCCGCCCACACGCACGCATCAAGCTTCCGTATACAGAGCAATTCTCAGTCGTGAAGGCTGTCAAACTTTATGGCTCCGCGGTTCCACCGTAACCGGAAGGCTATGCACTTGTCACAACGTCAGGCAATCGCGCACTCTTTCTTCAAGACAAAACAAAACTATCTACCTCTAGTCTTGTTCGTTGCGGATGCTAAGGCGCGTCAGGGGAGGCTGGGTTTGCCGCGGCGCCAGCCCGTTTTCCACCAATTGTTATCGCTTTACCTTCTCAACAACTGGAGCAAAACGAGTTGGCTCGGGGCCAACCCAGCCCCCTGACACGCTCCAGAATCGGCAGAGAACAGTGCTATGTAACAAATCCCAGAAACATGACGGTAAGCACCAGGAGATATCCGCCTACACCAGCAGATCTGCTATTTTCTGCTCACTTTTCCGAACCCCTTTATTGAAGAATACCTAAGTAGGACACAGCAAGTGAACACTCATCAAAAGCAAACAATACTTAAAGATAAATACTTTATCATCCAATGATAATGCATTTTAAACGCAACATTTGGCATTTGAGCTGTGGATTGATGAGCAGGGAAACATAGGAAGCGAAACCGTTGTCGTAGTAGAAAACCACTCGGATAAGGGAGGTAATACACGTGATACGAATTGAAAGAGAAACTATTTAGGTTGAGTATCAAAGCTGCCCAAATTCCAGTAGTAAACGAGTAAATCGATAAATCGATCAAACGATGCTCATGGCAGCATAGGCACTCATATTTACCTATGGTAATGCATAAAAAGAGTGGCAAGTAGTTAGGTAAGTGCAAGCGTTTGTTAGGCAAGCGAGACAAGAGGCATACAAATACAACAAATTAGTTCCTTAAAAATAACTATATGACCTAGTTTATAATCAAGACACAGGACAAAATCACTAGAAATAGCTTACAACGGAGATCCACTAATTGGGCGGCTACTAATGACGATAAAGACTTTTCGTCATGCCCAGGCTATGGACTACCTATTCCGGGGATATTCTTTTCAGTTCAGCTGTGATTCTTCCTTCAAATACGGGAAGATAGGCGGAGTCGTCGTTTACCAGAAGGAGCTGATACGGTGCAGAACCATCCTCGCATGTCGATTTGAAAAAGAACCTGAAGAGCGAGAATTCGCGTAAAAATTCCTCGAACACTGAAAATTGGGCTCAGCTTCGGCTTGGTGGGGGCACCGAGTGGTACTCAGCAAAACTTACACCTTCTGGAAGCTGTAAATTCATGTAACCAAAGTGGCTCACTCGCATCATTCCGCAGCTTCACAGGAGTTCACAGATCTTATGAAACTTGTTAATGCTACTTGTTATTCAACGTGAACCAACAGAAGGAATATGCGAACGTGCAAAGTGCCCCCTTCAAGCAGAACAGGTGCCGAAAATTGTGCTGTTGCGAAGGTTCATGTTGATCTGAATATATAACAGTAGAATGGGAGGGGTGCAAATTAATCTTGCGAAAATCAACCAGAGGACTCCCTGTGTAAAACTGGGTTCCTGTCACACGACCAGAATCACAGTACTTTCAATTGATCCACCCACCCAAAACCCGTTCACTTTTTGAGACTACTGGGAGTCCTCAGCTTTATCAGAGAAACCCAAGTTGCATAACGATTTTCACATGCTTCCACCCTGAGGATCCTACGCCGAGCGAGACTCCAAAATCCCAAAAATTTATTCCAAAAGCTTTAAAAGACTCAAAACAACTCAAATAATTGGATAGAACGCTGGTGGAGCCGTGAGAGGTGGGGATTGTTTCAGGATGTTTCTCTATTTGAGCTCTTGGGATCGCTTCGTCTTACACCTCGGAATGACATTCGACGCTTTCTCGCTTGTCTCTTTGACTGCTTCTTGGTGACTAATAGTTCTGATTTATGATGAGAGGAGCTGGAAACCATGAGCTGCGGAACGGTACAGGCGAGACAATTTTGCTACAAAAATTCACACTATGTTGCGTAAGGGGTTCGCTTAGTACAATTTGGTGCCCCCATCAGGCCCATGCTGGCCCTCTAAACGGATCCAGCAACTGGTCATACGATAAGAGCTGCTTGACCAGGAATATTGCTAACGAAGGCCGCGAAGCCATTTTTCAAGGGGCCTGGAAACGAACAAATCGTGCAGGAAGCGTCAGATTCTCAATAAACAGCCGTTTCCATCATGAAGCTGCGCTCAACAGCAATAGAAAGGAAACCCGAAGCTTATTGCAAATGAATGTCAGAAAATTTTACATATTTGTCAGCGAAAAAGTAACTAAAAGAAGTCTCTAACTCACTGCACGTTAGAATGAGAAGAGATGGAGAAATGCCGACGGAATTCTTTCAGCGTCAATCCTGCTTGCGAAATAGGCACATGCGCGACTACTGGTACCCCATCAATACCTTAAAACTTGTTGCTGTAACCTCCAGGAAGGCGAATCAGCAAAACCAATCCCTAAACGCACTATGCTCACCTTTGTAGGATATGGTGATCAACTGTTGTCCTGCAGATGGAAGGGATCGGCGAGTCTTTCGAGGAGTGCTCAATCCAGTTTGATGAGGTATGGGCATTCGTCGCGAACCTCTGGATGTATCCGAGAACGCTGACGGTGCCATTGATTCCACTCCAGACGAATCGTAAATTGGAGCCGTTTGGATCGGATTCCTGAAGATTCCCGTTTGATATTAAGTGATAATCTTGGGCTGCTTTCATACTTCGCAAGTGAGGAGGTTAGGCGATTGATTCGGGAGACTCGGCGTTCGAGCAATCTGGCGATTCGGGAGACTTGGCGTTTCCTGCGATAGTGCGCAAAAGAAGTGTATGGGTATCGATCGACGCCGGTCGCGATAGCATAGTTTCGGCGATTCGGCGATCTCTCAAAACTCAGATCATCGAGTCTTTCAAATCGCAGGATCGCTCATTCGCCCAAACCGCCGGATCAACGAATCTTTGAATCGCTAGCGACCGGCGCCCATCGATACCTATCCACCCACAATCACCGGAGACGTTTAGTCTACCACATCGCCAGATCAACACCTATACTTTCCTCGACGCGCAATCCCTCATGTCGCTGAATCTCTCAAATCGCCTCCTCAGATGCAAATATGAACGCGGCTTAGGTCGCCCACAAAACTCTACCTTGGTTCCTTAAAATAAACGCCAGCAGTGTTAAACGTATTTGGCATCGGTGGTGGTGCAAACTGATTCGCTGAGCGTGGGTACGACGTCATCGACATCGACATCACTCCCATTGTGTTACTTCCAGCAGTACCACATCCGGATTTCGCTCGTTCGGGAGAAAATGGCCCTGTAAGACATTCGATGTGGAGCTATAACATATTCAATGCAAAGATAGTCCTTTCAAAGAAAAAAAAACAACTGGGTGCAGCAAAACCTATGCGAAAAGGCTCAAGAAAGGTTGAGCTCTCTCCAGTCTATCAGCGAATTCTGCCTAAATG